TTTGACCATTAAAAAAGTTCTGGTTGATAATCTGGCCATTAAAAAAATAGTGGCCATTACAATGGCCAGAAGTGACTTTTTGAAGGGGTCTGAGGGGTGAAAAAAACAGAGTTAAAGTGAAATGAAAAATTATTATAACCTCCTCACTAACCTAAAAGCACAAATAAATATTCAAAAGTTGTGAAAATTAAAACTTTCCGAAACGCTACGGAATTTCCGAAAGTAATCCGGACGCTGTTTATTATAATACTATATAATACATAATTTGTCATATTTGAAAACTAATCCTGGATGAAAGTATTGTATAGTGCAACTGTACAGATAGTATTCATGTAAAGTTTTTTTTAAAACATTAATTAGTATGCATCAATTGATTTGAAAAGTAATTACTTATTGTCCCCTTTTACTTTATTTGAATCTATTCAAAGACATACATTGTCAAGATGCATGTATAGGAGGCCTAATTAGTATGCAAATTAGATTAAAAAAAGCAACAAGATTAGTGTATTTTAGATGATCACACATGCCATCGAGTTCAAGTTTGAGGAGGCCATGTATGATTTAATTTGCTCGGCATGTCTATGTACAGTGATTATTGTTGATCATTTTATTTTGAATATTTTCACATACAACAATAATAATAATAATAACAATAATAATAATAATAATCTTCATTACATCATAATAAAAAATCAATGTTAACTTCATCTTAGAAAAAAAAGTAATAAAGAAATAATTCAGACAAAAATAAGAACAAAACTAAAAAGTTAAAGATAAAACAATCTGCTGCGTTCAGTAAGTGAGAGTTTCAGAAATGTAATAGCATGTCTGAGTAATTGACGTTGTATTAATGATGATAACAAAGATGTTTGTGCTATCAGTACTATTAACATCAGGAAGTTTATTGCTGAATTCAAAATATAATTTCCTGTCTTTCTTCTTTGTAAAAGAGTTAGAAATTGAATTTAATCCATGTATGTTTTTAGACATCAAGCAAGAGTGAAAGGCAATAATTTGGTCTGAAAGTGTCTTATTGAAATTTTACAGCAAATAAAAACAAATTTCATTGTGATAACAACAAATTAAGTGATTTTAATATAAAACATGCTTTGCTTTTATGTGTGCACGATGGAAATGAAAAGTATAGAATAAGTTTCAATCAAAAACAAAAGGAATCCATTACTTAGTAGTAGTGACTAACAAAAGTACAATCTAGTCATGTTACTTCACATGTGAATACCGAGGTAACTTGATTTTCAATTGAATATGTATTATTATTCATTGATGACTGTAATGTTTGAAAAACCAATATAATAATTTTTGTAAGCCAATATTTTCAGTCATACAAAAACACTTTGTCATATTCGCTATAATATCTTTTGAAATCACCCACAAATTTATGAATATTGGTGTTGGCTGGTGTTGTTGAAAAATTGCATGAGTTTTTTAAAAATAGAAAAATAGTCCATTTTCAATTCTGAAACAGGGTCTTGTGTTATAGATTCTGCGGGTGTTTACTGCCGTCTCTCTGACATTATTATTTGAAGTTCAAAATATGTACTTATAATTCAGTCTCGGTCCATCCATCACTAGTCATATTTCAGAAGCCTGTGGACCAAATCTGTTCATTCTTTGCATGTGCCTAGTACTTTATCTGGGACATATGCACTTGCAGTGGTTTACTGATTCAATCCAAGATGGTTGACTGGCAGCCATTTAGTTTTAGGATACATATCGATGATGATTTGTTTTGCAATTGGATCAAAGATGGCTACTGGCAGCTTTCTTGTTCTTGTTCTTAATTGTATCATGGACGTGGTTTTCCTTCAAATTTGTTATGTACATTGTACATTTTAGATTAATTTGTTTTACAGGCAGCCATCTTGCTTTTTGACCATACTATATCTCTGAGGCTTATGGGCCATTTTCATTTATATTTGGCACATACATCATACATATAAAAATATATGTTCATGTGAGTATTTTGGACAGGATTTGTCGGTTTTCGTTCAAACATTACACATGTTGAGATACATATCCATGATGATTTATTTCGTGTTTGAATCCAAAATGACCTACTGGCTGCCATCTTGTTTTTTTAAAATGTATCGTTGACATGTTTTTTTTTTTATACATGTTAGGATGAATGTCCATGACAATTAGTTTCACAAGCAGATCAAAGATGGTTGACTGCCTGCAATCTTGCTTTTTGATGGTATTACTATATCTCGGTGCCTGAGCCTAGACAAATGAAATTAAGTTTGGATACGAAAAATGAATGAATAGCATATCCTGTTTAATTTCCAAGTAATTTAATACATATAATTTCTGTTGGTACTAGACCAGCCATTTATTGACTCTAAATTACTAACTATGCTTTTGGTCCATATTACTTTATTTTTGGCGTGAATAACATTTCCCATAATTCCTACAGAAATTACAAATGTATGTCATTAACAATGACTTGTTTAGACATACCAATTTTGTTTCATTGACCTTTGACTAGTGGCGACTATAAATCATTAACTCTTTCTCAGGCATGTTGTGACCAATGTATGAACTTGATATAGCATGATATAAGTTTGTGATTTAATTCAAAATGGCTGACCAATGGCCATCTTGGTTTTGTTTTCATTTCTCAGACATGCTTTTACTAATTTCGTTGACAATAGGTACAAGAACGAGACGTAATGTACACATACTGGTCTATTTTTTTTTTAGCTCCGTTGTCGATTTTGTCAAGTGGAGCTTATCATATGAGTGATTGTCTGTCGTCGTTCGTGTCAATGTTTTACTCTTTTGACTTCTCCCTGCAAACTACAAGCCTGAATGCTTTGATACTTGATGTATATGTACCTTGGGTAGACTTCTCTTAGGTTTGTTCATTTCATGATGATATCTTTATTTCTCTAATTTTGGTGAATATTTTGTCATTTTTGGTAAAAAGTGATATTTTCAACTTCTTGTTAAAAACCAAAAGTCCAATTGCTTTGATATTACATATATATGTACTACATTCAAACCTCTCTCAGATTTGTTCATTTTGTAATGATATCTTTAATTTTCTAATTTTGGTGAATATTTATGTAAGTTTTTGGTAAAATATGATATTTTCGACTTCTTGTTAAAAACCTCAAGTCCAATTGCTTTGATATTTCATATATAGGTACTACATGTGGACTTCTCTCTCTCAGATTTGTTCATTTCATGATGATATCTTCAATTCTCTAATTTTGGTGAATATTTTTGTCATTTTTGGTAAAAAGTGATATTTTCGACTTCTTGTTGAAAACCGCAAGTCAGATTGCTTTGATATTACATGTATAGGTACTGCACGTGGTTCTAACTCAGATTTGTTCATTTCATGATGATATCTTCCATTCTCTAATTTTGATGAATATTTTTGTAATTTTTGGTAAAAAATCACAAGTCTGATTGTTTTGATATTGTTCATTTTCTAATGATATCTTCTGTTCTTTAATTTAAATGTGCATTGCTAACAGCGGAGCTATCTCAGCCGAGAGGCTGCTTGTTTGTTCTAATGTTTTTAGTTGCCATTTTACTCCTCCAAAAAATAAAAATCCTTCACAACTGCTTTCCTATAATCCTATGTTTATAATTTCAGAAGAGTTATTCTTAATTATTCACAATATTGATGGATCAATGTTAAGGGGAGAGAAAACTCAAAATATTTTGAGTCTATTGGTTCAAAGTTCAAAGGTACATCTGGTTGCTACAATAGATCACATTAATGCTCCATTAGGTAAGTCAATCTCAGTGAGATGTGGTGTGTTGTAAAATGACTGTCAATTGCTGGCATCAACATGAGTCTGTTGCCTTCACTCTTTCAGTCGTACATGGTGTTGCCTTCATGGCTATTCAATATGTCTATATGCATATTTCTTGAGTTCTCATTCAATAAATGTAACTGTATTTTGCATCTTTGTTTTTTTGTTACTAGTGGTGAAGCTGACACAGACTGAGACTCCATAGTGAATGTGGACACTTTCTCACAGACTGAGACTCCATAGTAAAAGTTGGACACTTTCTGACAAACTGAGATTCCATAGTGAACATTGGACACTTTCTCACAAACTGAGACTCCATAGTGAATGTTGGACACTTTCTCACAGACTGAGACTCCATAGTGAATGCTGGACACTTTCTGACAAACTGAGATTCCATAGTGAACATTCGACACTTTCTCACAAACTGAGACTCCATAGTGAATGTTGGACACTTTCTCACAAACTGAGATTCCATAGTGAACGTTGGACATTTTCTCACAGACTGAGACTCCATAGTAAAAGTTGGACACTTTCTGACAAACTGAGATTCCATAGTGAACATTGGACACTTTCTCACAAACTGAGACTCCATAGTGAATGTGGACACTTTCTCACAGACTGAGACTCCATAGTGAATGTTGGACACTTTCTGACAAACTGAGATTCCATAGTGAACATTGGACACTTTCTCACAAACTGAGACTCCATAGTGAATGTTGGACACTTTCTCACAGACTGAGACTCCATAGTGAATGTTGGACACTTTCTGACAAACTGAGATTCCATAGTGAACATTGGACACTTTCTCACAAACTGAGACTCCATAGTGAATGTTGGACACTTTCTCACAGACTGAGACTCCATAGTGAATGCTGGACACTTTCTGACAAACTGAGATTCCATAGTGAACATTGGACACTTTCTCACAAACTGAGACTCCATAGTGAATGTTGGACACTTTCTCACAAACTGAGATTCCATAGTGAACGTTGGACATTTTCTCACAGACTGAGACTCCATAGTAAAAGTTGGACACTTTCTGACAAACTGAGATTCCATAGTAAACACTGCACACTTTCTCACAGACTGAGATTCCATAGTAAACATTGGACACTTTCTCACAAACTGAGATTCCATAGTAAACATTGGACATTTTCCCACAGACTGAGATTCCATAGTGAACATTGCACACTTTCTCACAGACTGAGATTCCATAGTAAACACTGCACACTTTCTCACAGACTGAGATTCCATAGTGAACGTTGGACATTTTCTCACAGACTGAGACTCCATAGTAAAAGTTGGACACTTTCTGACAAACTGAGATTCCATAGTAAACATTGGACATTTTCCCACAGACTGAGATTCCATAGTGAACATTGCACACTTTCTCACAGACTGAGATTCCATAGTGAACGTTGGACACTTTCTCACAGACTGACACTCCATAGCAAACATTGCATACTTTCTCACAGACTGAGACTCCATAGTGAACGCTGGACACTTTCTCACAGACTGAGATTCCATAGTAAACATTGCACACTTTCTCATAGACTGAGACTCCATAGTGAACGCTGGACACTTTCTCACAGACTGACACTTCATAGTAAACATTGCACACTTTCCCAAAGACTGACACTTCATAGTCACATTGCACACTTTCTCACAGACTGAGACTCCATTGTGAACGCTGGACACTTTCTCACAGAATGAGATTCCATAGTAAACATTGGACATTTTCCCACAGACTGAGATTCCATAGTAAACATTGCACACTTTCTCACAGACTGAAGATTCCATAGTGAACGCTGGACACTTTCTCACAGACTGACACTCCATAGCAAACATTGCACACTATCTTACAGACTGAGATTCCATAGTGAACGCTGGACACTTTCTCACAGACTGAGATTCCATAGTAAACATTGCACACTTT